ATGGTGCATAGTTCTGTGCCCTTTTAAAGGTCTAATGCAAGATCCTGCTGTCACATGCGTATGAATAAATGAATCTGCATTTCTCAAATATCAGAAAACTGTTTGGGGTCTGCCAGCCTACTCACACCAACAGGGATTCATTCTGTTGGGATCCAAACCCAGCATCTGGGTGAGCTTTCGACTTCCCAGGGGAACATTCACCAGGACTGTGACATAGGTCACTCTATTTTAAAATTATTGGTGTGCAAACTGTGCAGCACAGGTTTGTACACAGAAAAGTTACACGTCCTAACTGCATGACTACTTGTGTTTTATGGGACTGTTTACTGAGGACAACAGATGGATATTTTAAGCCTTTAGTAAAAGTAGAAAAATTATATACTAACTGATCCATTGAGTTTCTCCAGTACAAAACAAAATTCAAGCTAAGATAAATGTCTCCCACTTGTTTAAGTAGGTAATACACAGCTGCAGTAAAGTCTTTTGGCATTTGCAATTCCGAGACACCATCATATACTGAGGAAAAAATATTTGCCATGCCATTTTCTTTTAATGAGCACTCAGAATTTTTGCTAGCTGCCAATAGGATTGTTTTAACAGTCTGTTGGAAGTGAGGGGAAAAATGGACTGCACTTGTGTAGGAAATCATTAATTGTTCAGACCACATCTTTCTGTGGATTCCCATATGTAACATGAAACTAGTTTTGAGCAGTGACTTAGAATAATTACCACTGTAAAGAAAATACTTATTTTGCACAATTTCCTGCTTCATATGAAGCACAGATTTAATATTGTAGAAGAATGACAAATGAGTAAACATATATTTGAAGGACTATGAATTGGTGAAGTAGATTAGCATTAAATAAATTTGAAATCAAGACTAACAAATATAAACCTCCTTAGTGCCAGAACAGAAATGTAATGTAGCCGTTCTCAAATAAGGCTGAGGATTAAATGATGAAATATTTGACAGAAGCTAATGAGCCATGATCATAAGCAATAGGGTGTTAAAATGGAAAAAGGGAATTGCTATGAAACACATTTTTTCTGATTAATTTTTAGATTTTTCTGAGCACATATTTTCCCACATGCATATGAATTCTGAACTGCTTCTTTCTTGCCAATTTGGAGCTGAAACTAATGGCTTGTGACCTTATAATCAGTTGTAATATTTAACTCGGATTCTGTGATCCCAAATGTACTTGAAAGTTTTGATATTTTTGTTCTACACGTGGCAGTGCAGGGAAAATTTCCTCCTAGTCATATGGAGTTACAAAAATATTCATTATTGTGAGATACAAAATTTATACCTTCACCCTTTCTCTTGTCCTGTGCTATAGATAGAAAAACAGAGATTGCATTCATAGACTTCCCATAAGCACCATGAATTCAGTTCTCAGCAGGTGAATGAAGCATCTTAAACCTTTCCTACAAAGGCAGTACGGTGTGGTGCTTGGAAGAGGTGACCCAACTGACCTGCCTGTATCTAACATCTTTCTACACCAAGTTGGCTGAAGTCACTTAGGAAAAGCTTTTTCAAAGACCATGATCATTGATTTCTCTCTCCTGCTGCTGAGGTCAATGAGAGAGTTAGTGTTATCATGATTCTTACCCATAAATATCAATGTGAAAACTCTCACTGATTTCAGCATAAGTGAGGACAGGGCAATACTAGACAGTATTGGAAATTCCTTCTGCTGCCTTGCAGCTTACTGCTCTGTAAAAACCAGGCCATGACTATACTGCATGATGTATGATGAAGGTTGAACTACTGGTACTTGAAAGAGTGTTTAGTTCAGATAGGTCATAGATGATAAGTACCAATTGCTATTAATATTTTATCCCCTCGAAATAGTGATACCAAATTTTCCCCAACTGACAGCTAGAAAGCATGCTTGCAGTGACCTTGTCTGGATATTTTTTTTTTCATTTGAAATGAGAATACAGTTAGTATAATTTGAACCACATACTTCCTTCTAAGTAATCTGTCATCCCCTTATTTTGAAATAAATTCCTGTTAACAAGCTATAACATCTAAAAATAATTATAATCAGAAAACCAGATTTCACATTGCTACAGTGCAAAAGATTAAAATTTCAACCACATGGGGTTTTTTTCTATGGTTGGAAACTTTTTTCAATGGTATCCTTGATTCAGGACACAACTAGGAGGAATCATTATTGTTATTCCAGTATGAAAAGGCAGACTATTTCTTTTTCTGATTTGTTCTCAGTTCAAGACAGTTTTTTTTTACTTTGTTAGTTCTTAAAGCCTGGCAGTCTCACCCTTATAACCCTGCATTCTCTAAAGAACTAATTCTCCTCTCAGGCTAAGAGATCTTCCACCTCTTATTTCCACAAGCATGTCATCATGGTTCTACCAAAATGTGCTTAAAATTCTGAGATCTGCCTTTCCCCACCTAATAGAAGTTCATTCTCTCTAGGCCTCTAGGATTGGTTAGGGTGCTAGATATTTAGTTTTCATGTTTTGCACTCCTCAAACATTAGTTTGCATGTAGCCTAAAAACTGAAAATACTCAGACACTGGGATATGGATTTATGGCCTCAGTGTAAAATTGCTGCTCATAGATAGCTGGTTGTGTTTACAGTATCAACAGATATATCAGTGCTTGGATGACTATAAAGACTAAGATGTTCCCTTTAAGATGTAGTCAAAAATCAGTGCTAGACAGTACTGTGATATAATCTGGGAAAGTTTCAACTCACACTGTTTTTTGTACTACATGTGTTGAACAGAAGACATCTACCCATGTCTGTCGATCCAACAAAACTGAGAACTACATTCATTTTTAAAAGGCAGAAACAATTAATGATAAATTAAAGAATATATCTATAAATTATTCATGGAAGTAAATTCCAATCATTGAAGTATGTCGCTTGATGCAGAACATTAAAAATTTGCATTGCTTATCATATCCAGATCAATATTACAGAGATTGTTAAATTGAGACCAGGGGAAAACAGCAAACATGGAAAAAAATCAAAAGTGAACCACAAACCAAAATCCATAAAACACTCAGTCATAAATAATTAAGGTGAACAACCCTTCCTTTTGTAGAATATACAATACATTTAGGGATCAACGCTTGTTTTGATAACATTTAAAAAGGTACACTGTGCGACTCTCTTGGTTTGAAGTTTTATTTATTAGCAGCATTAGTTGTTCTAATGCAGCACTGCAATTTAAATGAAAACTCAGAACCACACTTTTAGCTGATGCAAACCTTTTTAACTCCACTAAAACTGTTGGATATCTTAACCAGGAGGTGATGTAGTACCTTGCATTACCCTAAAATTTAGCTAGTACATGTGAGCAGAATTTTAAAAGTAACACTTTCATAACTCTACAACTAAGTACAGAGAACAATTTGTCATGAACTTTACCTACCCTCAAAACATTTGATGCAATAGGCAAGATGAATTATCACTGGACTTCTCTCACTGGTGAGGTGTTTATGGGGTTCTACATCCCAAAATAATGGCACCTCATTGCTCCTGAATGCTAACTTCGTACCTTCAAGCATTGATATTCTGGACATACAGTGGCAATAACAGGTTCAGGTTCTTCCAGAAAGCCATGAAAAATGCAACCATAGCTGTGGCCTATGCAGATCTCTCATGCCATAGCCTCTCACATTGCATCTTGATGATGCAAGTGATGTGTTGAGTCCCATCACCAGGCAGAGGCTGTGGTGCTATGCTGTGGCTGACAAATGCACCAGGTAGTGCCAAGGGTCTGCTGCACCTCTCTGGTTGATCCCAAATGCTCAAAGAGCCAAGACATTGCATAATATAAATGTGGGAGAAATATGTTGAAGTGCTAGCAATATTATTTTAACTATTGGCACATGCAATTTATTGCTACAAAAGAAAAAGGTAATAATTCGTTTGCAGACTAAGAATTCTGCTTATAAAATTACTCCAGCAATAGAGCCAAGGTAGAAGTATATTTGTAAATATATTGTACATTGAATTCAAATTATGTAACTGATAGCATTTCCTAACATGGCAAGTAAAGAGAATTCACATTGAATTTTCTGCAACAACCATTTGAACTGAAGGACAGAGACAATTAATGGCAGCGCAGCCATGGGCCACTGGCAGTTCATCCCATCTGCTCGGGGCATAGGCCGTCACCGGGACATCGCCACGAGCATGGAGATCTGGACGCCCTCCCCGCCCAGCCGCGCGGCCCTTGCTGCAGCTGTGAAGAAGACAGCCTGCTGTTTTGTGCGTGAGGTCCTGGAAGAGGTTTTCCCCTGGGAGACAGGGACCCCGCCAGCAGCTGGCAGCACAGTTGGACCACAAACACAGCACTGGTCAAACAGTGGCAACAAGAACAGCCGAGTTGCAGGAAGCCGAAGGCAGCGAGGCCCCCGCAGCTCAGCCCCTGCCTGGTCCCCATCCATGTGGGGGCACTGGTGCTGCCGGCAGGGCCCCTGCAGCACCTTCCCTGGGCAGGGGGAAAGGTAGGTTGCCGCTGCTGTACCACCAGGCTGTTGCAGAACATCTGGACGCCCTGTCCATCGAGGCAGCCCCTCTGGAGGATCTGGAGAGGAGCTGCCTGACCTGCACTGGGCTCAGCCTGGATCAGTGCAGGGAACCCACCCTGCAGCAGGGATGAGTCAGGGGCCTCGGCCGAGGACTAGAAGAAAAATGAGACACTCAGAGGGCCATCCCACGGAAGACATGCGACCATGCTCAACACCCCGGTCAATGCTGAGCCATCCTGATGGAGACATGTCAACAACCACAACATCTAGATCAACCCCTTTGTCCTGGCGCTCTTCCCAGAGCCCCATGCTGCTGATCCCCAGGGCGGTGTTTTGCTGATCAGGGATACCAATTAAACTCAGACACCAGAGTGAAAAGAGTAGGCATATTTTACTTAAAATAATTAAATAATGTAACAGAATAATATAGAAAACATACAGTAAGAAAAGACAGAACAGCGTGCTTAAAGAAATAGGAAAATACCGTGTAATGCATCAAATCATTACTACCTGAGAAAGAGAACAGTGATTAAGAAAGATCCATCACCACTTGCATACTTTACCATCATCTAGATCCGCAGTCACTGGGGAGCCCCAGTTACAGCGAGGATTTAGAGAACCTGTTCCTTCAAGTGGGAAATCCTACGTGGTGCGTCCACCCATGGGTGAGGCTTCCGAAGTCACTGTGAACAGGTCCAGCCTTATATACCTCAAAATTAGGTAGCCAGAATAGCTGGCACCTTTGATTTAAGCAGAAATATCTGGTTCTATTCTTACGTTAGATTCTCCCAGGGCCTGGCCAGGGCTCAAGGAAGAAACTAAGGTAGTTTCCCAGCTTATCTAATTGATTTATGAGCAAGGTCTCACGCCAGGTCACAGGGCCAGACAGCTGTCTCTGCGACCCTGTTATCTTGCCTATACACAAGGAAAGATAAGGATATATATAGGTGTATATTTAGCATAAACATGTTTGGTACAGTACCTACTAATGCAATGGTTGTTAGCTATAAAATACACAGGACTGATTTATAGATTGACTCTGGCTTGGGCCCATTGTCCAAGTCTCAGCACTTTGATCAGTTATCTTGCCTATACTTAAGAGAAAATAAGGAGATATATATATATATATCAGGATAAACATATTTAGTACAATACTTACTAGTACAATGGTTGTCAGCTATAAAATATACAGGATTCATCTATAGGTCAACTCTGGCTTGGGGGTTTTCTACATGGCAGGACAGAAAGAGGAGTAGTTCCCTGCTGCCAACAACAGGCAGTCCCCCGGAGATGGCAGCGGGCCCTGAGCCAGCGTGGCGTCCAGAGTGAGCAGGCTGTGAGGGACGGCTGCATGCATGTGTGTGCACCTCGGGCACTCAGCTGCCCTGAGGACACGGGGCTCGGTGACCATGGACTTGTTCTGAAACCAATAAAAGATGACAGTTTTCCCCCAGCGCTTGTCTGTGCCTGGTCCATCTCAGGAGAAACAGGTGCAGGCAAGGCCCATGCTGGCAGGCAGAGCCCCTGTGCTCCCCCCAGGCTGGGCAGAGCTCGTGCCCTCGGTCTCTGCCCGTGCCTCTGGCGCTCCAGCTCCCGAACAGCCGAGGCATCCGCTGGCCTTGCTCCACGGTGCCCGTGTTCAGAGACAACCTCTGTCCTCGGGGAGTCCCGGAATTGCTTGGTGTGTTGGGTCTGTGTGTGTGGCAGAGTTTTTGGAGGCAGGGGGGAGTCTACAGCAGTGGGTGGCCCCTGTGAGAAGCTTCTCAAAGCTCCCCCAGCTTCAAGTCGGACCCCCGGTCTCTGGCCAAGGCCGAGCCAATTAGTGACGGTGGCCTTGCCTGTCATAAGGTATTTAAGAAGGAGAAGCTGTGAGGAGGCATTGGGTTTGTGAGGAGTTCTGAGGGAGACACCTCTGCAGACACTGAGGTCACAGGAAGAAAGGAGAACAAGAGCAGGGTGGGGCGGTTGATGCGCAGGAGCAGAGACTTCCAAAGGAAAACGGCAATGGTAGTGCCTTCTCCTTGTTATAAATAAAGCACGTGCTTTAGATGCA